GCAAAGCTATACAAGGTTAGTGAGACATATTTGTAAAATTGATTATTAACTTTTTAGAATATTCATGTTTTAGTGCCACCTTCCTGATGTAGTTAAGTTTCCTGAAGGTGCCAAGCATATTTGTGCAATATGTAAAAGCCAATGCAATGTGTAAAGGGTGATAGGTAGATTTCCAACAAATGATGGTATGGCTCTCATCCCTTTTAAATGTGATGGGGATGTCTAAAAAATAGATTTCTGTATGATATTCCTGTTGTAAATGTTGTTGTAGTCCATATGGATTGTGATTAATCTTATGAAGAAAGTGTTGCACATTTGGTTTGGTATGCCATATTATGAAGACATTATCTACCTATCTAGCATATATAAGAAAGGTACTAAATGCAAAGGTGGTAATCAAGATTATAAAGAATATTATTAAGAAAATGGCATATGTTAAAAGTAGTATAGAAATGATACATTTTGGATTACAAAAATTAATTAGTATATAAATTTAATATAAAAAAATTTTTTTCGTAAATAAATTTTTTTTTTTAAATATTAAAAAATTTTTTTTTGAGTTATATTGAAATAAAGACCGATACAGTATATTATAATTTGTATAAGAATTTAATAATTTGTATAAGAATTTAATATAAAAAAACCGATAACACAACTCGCGCCCTCTATATTACAACTTTGAGTGAGTTTTTAAAAAACGATTTGGTCTTAAAGAAAAATATGATTGGCTGTTAGTTTTTAACGAAGATGTGATTGGTTAGTATTTTATATAAGTTACTTTTTTAAAGAGAATTTAAAATAAAAAAACTGATAACACAACATCGAAACTCACCCCCTCTATATTACAACTTTTTAAAAAAATTATATCGAAATAAAGACTCATACAGTGTAGATTATATTTAATTTGTATAAGAATTAAATAATACAAAACGGAATTTAAAAATATAACATAACTTTTTATTCGATTCACCCTTCTGTCATACCCTGGAACTTGGTCGTGTAAACCCCGTGTTATCTCTTTGTTTGAAAACTCGCGCCATTCTCAGTTCTAACATGGAAGCGTATTGTGTTTAAAAACGATTTGTTCCTAAAAAAATACGATTTGGTGTTAGTGTTTAACGAAAATGTGATTGATTTAGGTAAGGAAAATAACAGAATTATCGGACGACGTTTTTAAAGAAAATATGATTGGTTTTTATAATATATTTCTTAACGGAATTATTGGGAGAAACGAAAGGTAAGGAAAATACGGTAATTACCGATCTCTGTAGTTTTTATAATATATTTCTTAACGTAATATATTTTTTAAAAAATAACGGACCGCGTTTTTTACCGATCTCCGTAGTTTTTTAAAGAAAATATTATTGGGAGAAATCTTTCACCCTAAAACAGTCCCTCTGAAGTAAGTTGTGGGACTGCTTTCTTTAAATAATTACCCCAAAGCGGCTCTGATTTGTGGATAATAAAAAAATCTTTCTCTACTACACCCCCTGAAGTTAAGCTGTGAACTGCATTCCATCATCTATTCAATATTTTGTTCATAGACTTATTTCTGATTTATAGATAATAAAAAAATCTTTCTCTACTACACCCCTGAAGTTAAGCTGTAGGCTGCATTTTTTAATTAATCTACCGAAAGCACCCTCCGCCGCATTCTATCACAGACTTATTTCTGATAATAAAAAAATCTTTCTCTACTACACCCCCTGAAGTTAAGCTGTGAACTGCATTCCATCATCTATTCAATATTTTGTTCATAGACTTATTTCTGATTTATAGATAATAAAAAAATCTTTCTCTACTACACCCCTGAAGTTAAGCTGTAGGCTGCATTTTTTAATTAATCTACCGAAAGCACCC